TTCCCAACTAGTGAAAGGCTTCTTCTCTTATTTTTGCCTTTAGAGAGCAGAGGAAATGCTGGGGGTGGGGGGTGGCGCACGCCTTTATCCCAGCACTCGGGAGGCAGAGGCAGGTGGATCTCAGAGTTTGAGGCCAGCCTGGGCTACAGAGTTAATTTCAGGACAACCGGGGTTAAAAAGAGAAACCCTATCTTGAAAAAGCGGGCGGGGGGGGGGGGGGGGGGGGGGGGGGGGGGGGGGGGGGGGGGGGGGGGGGGGGAGGGGGAAAGGGAGGAGGGAGGAGGGAGGAGGGAGGAGGGAGGAGGCCTGACTAATGGACCCAGAACCAAAAGCCTGCAAATCCCGCTCCAAGGCCCTACGTTCTGGCTAAGAGTCTTGGTGTGGTTTAACATTCATGAGGCTCTGGGTTGAGCAAAGCTTCTCTAGGCTCCTCCCAAATGTTCTAAACTCTGATCAGAGGCCTGAGTCAACGCTATGGGACACTGCCCAGTCAAGAAGAGTAGCCTCCTGAAACAGGGAGGCCCAATGAAGGATGTAGAAAGCAAAGTCCAGAATTTGACTGAGCGGACAGACTCAATGAGAAAAGAAACATGAGGCCATTCCTTTTCAGACAACATACGCCTATCTGTACCTCAGCACTTGGGAGGTGGAGGCAGAAAGATCAGGAGTTCAAAACCAGCCTGTCTAAAACAAACAAACAAACAAACAAGGACAAATAAACAGACAAAAAGAAATAATCCCGAATCATTCAGAGTGACAAAGGGAACACTCTCCTCAGCTGGATGTGGTGGTGCATGCCTTTAATCCCAGCGTTCAGGGAGGCAGGGGCAGGCGGAGTTTGGGGCCAGCCTGGCCTAAAGAGTGAGTTTCAGGACAGTCAGAGCTGCACAGAAAAATCCTGTCTCAAGAAAACAAAACAAAAAAAGGACCACTCTCCTCAGAGGCCACAGGAGACCAGATGTATAATTGGGTAACAGTACCCTTTCCCGTCATCTCTAAAGGTCCTCAGAAAAGATGAAATCACACACGCAGCTGCCAGCAATTGCTGGCAGGATGGGTCGGTTCAGAACAAGCTCTCTCTGACAGCACCTCAGAGAGCTGAGTAAATATTTATCATCTCCAGGAGCTCTGGAACTCATTTTTCTAGTACTAAAACTACCTGACAAGAGCAGTGGACGGCCCGGGGAGGGGAGGGAAGCCTTCCAGCTTCTCAGTATATACCTGAAGCGGAAGACAGGTTAGAGATGCAAACTAGAAGAGCCCCTGTAGGCACCCCATTTCCCTCTCCAGGGCCTCCTGAATATACACTCTGCTACGTGTGGAGTGCATGGCTCCCTTATAGGAGGCAGGGAGCCTTGCAGCATTCAGTCCACTGTCTTCAGAAAAGGAAAATGTGATCCAACCTGCACAATTTCTAAGAACCTGCATCAATAAGAAGTGACTGACCATGCTGGGTTCTAAGTATAGCCAGCCTTTCCTCCTGGTGCCTACAGAAAGGACAGGCTCTGACATCCTCAAACTCTGAGAGACCTAGGACAAACACCCTGCAGATTCCAAGGAATGACCTATATTCTACAATCAAGAACATGTGAAATGATGATTTAAGGGGAAAAAATTAAAAACGACTCAAAGGTCATCCCTCGGCGATTTCTCAGACAGGCTGAGTTGTCGCTTAGAGGAAATATGGTAGGGACATACCTCTATCTTGCCAAACTTAATTCTGAGACCTATCTTGAAGATATTCTGATTTCTCTGGGCCACAGCTCCTGCTTTTGGCCTGACTTCAAAGTGACTGGTCCTTCCCTGGCAAAGGAATAGCCAGGACTGTGAAACCTCATGAGACTAGGAACTACATGTTCTAAACTCCTCCGATCTCTGGCACTATTTTTATCTCATTCCCTCCCCAAATTAGGATGGGGATGGGCAAGAATATCAGTCTTCAAAGGGAGGAACGGGGCCAAAGAGAAGAAAGGATACAACCAACACTCCCCAGAGTAGAAGAGTCACAGCTCCGTCCAGGATGATCTTGAGGAGTGTGTCCCGCTCCAGGCCTGTGAGGGGCCTTTGTTAATCATATTCAACTATGTCCACGTCTTCACTACCCTCACCTAATTCTTCAGGACTTCTTGTGGAGTGATACTTTGTCCTTAGACGACAAACTTCTGGGTAGCACGCCTCACGTCCTTCTATTTTCCTATCAGGCTCAAGGCACTTTAAGCACATGGAGTCAAAAAGCTGACCCATTTTCCTGGGCCACTGGTAGGCCTATGGTAGAAAATTACCACGTCGGAATGAGCAGAGGTCAGCTGGTCAACGGCAGGTGCTGATAACTTCTGTGTGCAAAGATCTGTGGTGAGGCACAGAGGATGAAGAGGCCAGCAAGCCTGACCCTCGGACACCATGGCCTAGCAGGGATAACAGAGCCACACCCATGGGGGGAAGGCTAGTGTAGCAAGACTTGCTGGAAATTAAGAAGGAAAGGACAAAGGGCAAAGTTTGATGTGGAAGGGGGAGCTTGAGACACACTGGAAGCACCCACACCATGAAGGAGACCAGAAAGGAACAAACAACACCCCCCCCTTCTCACAAGGAAGCTGAAAGTTCATTCTCAGAGTCTAAGAAGGCACGAACATAAAGGCTTCCTCTCTCGTCATCTCCTTCAGCCATATAACTTACTGTCCAGAAAGGGATGCTGTACGTGAGTCCTGGAGGAGTCGGATGGGACCCCACAGACTCTCACCCAGCCTTGGAATCCTTCGCCTTGCATCTGCTCAGGCGGAGATATCAACAGTGGTCAGCCACCTACTGACTTTCTACCCTCCCAAAGCTTTGGTGCTAGAGCGCCATGCTCAATACTTGACGATCAACATGGTCATAGTAAGTTCCAGACCTAGCCAGGCAGTGGTGGTACGCACCTTTCATCCCAGCACTTGGGAGGCAGAGGCAGGTGGATCTCTGAGTTGGAGGCCAGCCTGGTCTACAGAGTGAGTTCCTGGACAGTCAGGGTTACACAGAGAAACCCTGTCTCCAAAAACCAACACCTCCTCCCCCGCAAAAAAAAAAAAAAA